CCTGGACTTGGCACAGCAAAAAGAGCAGACTTAAATCCCTTTTGTTGGTCATCCTCTCCTTTAGTGTAGAGATCCTCCAGATCTTGCCTCTGTCATTGCGCTGGCTCTGCTGCTTTGTTCCAATGGCAGCCTGCCAGCTCTGTGGCGTTTACTCACCTTCAGAGTTAAACAGTCAGTACCATTCATGTATCATCTTCCACTCTCTCTGCTATCAGTATTGTTCTACTAGCTGCTGCTGGCAACAGTAATGCGCCTACCTTGCTCCCAATGGTGCCAACGGAGTGATTGTTTGATTTTATCAGTGAAATGTTGGTGAAAAACCAAGAAGGTAAAGGTGACCTCAGTCAGTCAGTCAGTCAGTCATGCAGGTGTGTGTTTATGCACTCCACTCTCACCTTTTGGGAAGTGATGTACCTTTCTCTGAGAGGAGCGGTGTTGACATAACACAAGATCAGATTGTCTCCTGTGACACTCAACAATTACATGTTAGCCCACTTTATTTTGAAAACTGAGTTTCCCCACAGAGCTTTGGGTGTTAAACTCTAAAATATGCTAAATGTTGGGCTTCTGAATTTCATTTCATTGTGTTCACTTTGCAATCTAAATGTCTGGGATTAAAAACACACGAAGCAAAGGATAAAAAGTTTGTAATTGTTTAATATGAAAAACCTGGAGTGTTAACTTAATAACAGCTAATAATCAAACTGAAGACTGTACATTCACACTGAACATTAAAACAATACTTCACGGTTTACATTGATTAAATATAGAAAAGAGAGAACAAAAAGTTCACAGACGGATTGTGTGAAGCAAACTAAATAGAAACAACGTCTGACTGGGACCAAAGTGAGTGTCTGCATTATTCTGTATCATTTTGACTTTTGACTACAACTCAGGTTTTTCCTATAAAATGTCCATCATAAATACACTGAGGGATCAAAAGATGTTTCTGTCTGTATTCTGACCTTATAAATGCTCCAATTATATTTATCTTAGCTATGTCACCAACCAATGTATGCAACAGGTTGTGATATAATCCTTTTTCTCCCAAATATCCAGGAAACCGTTTAGAGGAAATGTTTACTATGAGATGAACAGAGCTGAATGTGATATGCTGTTCCTCTCCGTACAGTACTGTAGAAAACCTTGTGTTAGCTGTGCTGAGGTCTGGCCAGGTCAGAGTTCAGATACACGACAGTAGCGGTGATATCGTCCCTGTACATTCTCGCTAGGTCCTCCGGCAGAGACAGCATCAAGGCCAGCCTCTCCTGGCACAGCTCTCCGTACTCCCCGGTGCCCAGAGCGTGTCTGATGAGGTGTGTCGCAGCGTTGGTGTCTAAAGCGGGGGAGGCGCGGGCCTGACGCTTCTGCAAGAGTTCATGCATTTCACCCAACTGCATCTGCTTCTCAGATGGAGAAACAGGAGCCTGGAATAAAGAAACAACAGTTAGAAACTAGTGTTGATTTGTCAGCCTTGTTTCCATATATTCTTTTCCCTTCATCAAATGTCCTTTTAAAGTTTTGTAATTATATTAACAGGTTTTAGATGATTCAGAGTCTGGGCTTTATAGTTTTTTCCGAGTCAAAGAAAACCATGATTATCTTAGCATTACTGCGGTCAATGAAAAGTGTTTACATTTCAGTATTTTTTATTCATCAGATTGTATTGAACAGTTCGTCACAGTCAGTGTATAATGATGTTATATCTTGTCTAGGTCAAAAGGTTGTTGAAATAACTAACCAAGTTAACACTATTAGAAACAGAATAAGTTAAGAGGATCAAAACATATATCAAATAATTGTGAAGTTTAAGGTGTAGGTTGTCTGCTGTGAATCAGGGGAACATAAACACAAGTGACTTTGACTCCACACCTGAAGGTGAATCCCACTGAGATGCTCTCCAACGAGCCGTACCGCCTCCTCGTTCCCCAACTCGTCCCACAGCCCGTCGCTGCCGAGGATCAGGAAGCGGTCCTGAGGTCTCAGCTTGTGATGGGTTATTTCAGGGGCCACATCCAGATAGGGTGGAGTTAGGTAGTTAGGCGGAGTGTACTGGTACAGGTTCAGAGAGTCCAGGTCCACTCTGGACTCTAAGCTGGCTAAAACACTCTGCTGCAGCTCATGGCTCCACTTGAATCTGACGTCACCAAAGGCACGAAGGGGCATCAGAACCTGAGAGCAAAATAACAGCTTAGGACCTGTGGTTTATTTTAAAAACTCACGGTTACATTTTATAAACTCTCACCCCCAGCAGTCTGTCCTCTGTGACCACTGTGTCTCTCTCTGAGGGGGGGTGCAGGGACCTGATCCGCTCCATCTCAGCCTGGTTCTGTGAGTTGTGGTCCCGGGTAAGGGGCAGAGCACTCCATGATCCGTCCTCCTCCAGCACGCCCAGGACTGCTCTGCAGTCACCAGAGTTTGCCACGTGGATCCCGTCTGTGCCAACATGAGCCACACAGGCGGTGGAACCAGCAAACGCAACCTGGACAGAGGATGGCGCAGGTGTATCAGTAATAATACAAATCATAATAATAAAGCTTTATTTGAATGTATTGTAGGAGCAAGGAAGGTTTTGTGCTGGAACCTGAATGGCTGTGCTTTTCATCAGGTCATTGGAAAGGGGGACTTGAGCCTCCAAGGAAATGTCAGCATCGAGCCGTTTGAAAGAATAGTCTAGCGCTTCCAGAGGACTAGAGAAAGAGGGGAAGAACATCACTCATCATGAAACAGCAAGCACTTGCAATGTAGAAAACGTAAGTGTTTTACTACCAACAAAAACAATTGAAACAATCCCATATTAACTAAAAAATTGAATTGTTTGTTATCATGATAACATGAACCAGCAGAGACATTCGTGCAGTCATTATAGTGTTTAACTTATACACAACGGTAGTAAAATGACAAATGAAGAGGAAAACAACAGGCTAGAAGAGCTGTAGATAAAAAAATGAACTTGCATAAAGTTTGTTAGAAATACACAGCCTTGGATTTACCTCATGCCTTCACCATGTTCCTCACTCTCTATTAATTCTTGCCAGAAGACTCTGAGGTGGTCGAGGTAGAGGGACGCAGATTCCCGATAGTTGAAGTCTGCATGGTGTTTGTACCACTGCAAGATGGGAGGAAGAGGTCTCTCATTCTCCATGCAGTTCTCAAGCTCCTCCAGGCTCTGCTTTGACATCATTGCAACTGCAGCGTAGTACAGCAGACGCTCGCTGACAGCCTGGGCACACGCCCACCCCCCGTGGCCGTCAAACACTCCAAACAGCATGCCCTTTGACTGGAGGAGATACAGAATACTCCATTAAAGTTTACAAGAAGCGAAAGTAGGGCAGTGGATTGGATTGCAGAATGAGGGGAGAACATGCATACCTGTAAGCATGTGGCTGAACTACGACGGTCCTCATTAGGTGTGTTAGCAGGCAGCTGGTTGCTCTCAAACTTTCTGACAGCACTGAGACCCCTGCCATCAAACTCTGGCACGCTGACAGTCTGAAACACAGACGCACATACACACATGTACATGGTTATATATAACTGCAAATGTATTCAATATGTAGTACTGATATTATAATTTGAATGAAAACATAAAGCATGTCATACTACGATGACCTCACAACATGCTTAGTTACATATTGCAAGTCCCAGAGTTTATAAAATCCAATACCTGCTCATTGGATCGCAGGATGCTGTTGATTTGGACCTGGTTGAGCTGGAAGTCGAGGTCCTGGCGAGTTGAGAGGTGGCGCCCACTGAGAGACCAACTTCCTGAGTCCTCACCTGAGATGCCTGACTTGACTCTGGAGTTCATCCAGGAGGAGAAGTGACATATATTTGCTGCTCGAGGCTGAGAAGAGAGAAATGCTAGGGAGGTTAGTGTACTAAATAAACAAAACAACAATTTTTTTATGATTTCAAAAATGAAATATTTAGTTAAAAAGTAAATCAGGGTACACACCTGGAATTGTGCAGTAGAGGAAAGTGTCAATGTGTAGCTTGAAGCTCGTTGTACGATGCTGGCACACACACGGCCAGACATCTCTAATGACACTGCCACTTTGTATTCACCTCGATGTCTATGTGGAGGGGGAAATGAAATTAAAAAGTGAGTGAAAGAGTGTTGATAATCAGGGAGCTAACCTTACACTAGATAGCAAGCTAGATGTTCTGTGTCAGCCCGGCTTAAAGTAACATCATACTCAAGGTGCAATAACGAGTGGTGCAAATACGGTGCAGCATACCTCTCTTTATGACATTTCCTATAGGTAAATATGTGCATGCATGTAGGTATATTACATTAAGTTATCAACATAGAAACATTAAGCGAGCTAGCTGGCTAGCTTGGCTATCTTTAACATATCAGCGACTAACGTTGTAACAAAGCTTATACTTGAGTTAAACAAACACATATTGATCTGCTGCATGTGGAAAGTACGATGAATAAAAACGAAATTGAATGAATACTTACAAACTTGTAAAATGTACACATGAATCGATGTCGATTGAAAACTCCTTACATGACGGCGATGTCACTCAACGTCTGACGTAGGCATCAGACGCAGGTCGGAGAGGAAAGGAAAGGAGAAAAAGCAATCGAAATGGACAATCTTTGGCTCGACTTAACAGGGTCATTTTTTTATACAGTCTATGATCATTGCATATATTTGAATGTAAACTAATATAATACAAATAATATAATATAATAATAATATAATAAAGCAACGGAAAATCTCAAAGACTACGTAACGCATTTTTTTGTACGATTTTTGATGAGAAAGCATTTACATACATTAGTGAACAACAAGCAAAGAGCCTTTATAACATGTTCTAAACATTTTCTTACATAGCTGGGGCCTACCCATGTAAAAGAGCCTTTATAACATGTTCTAAACATTTTCTTACACAACTGAGGCCTACCAAGCGCCGCGCTGGGCCTACCCATGTATATAAGGCCCCATCTGACCTTTCACATTTACTAGCGTGGTTGTTACTATGGGAACGCGATTTGCTAACGTTCATCTCCAACGGTTGCTAACATTGGCAATAAGGCTAACGCTAATATGTTGTCACCTTAATTTATTTAATTGTGTGTAAGTGGGTGTCATGTTTAGCTGACGTTACTTTTGGAGCAAATGCTTGAACAAAAGCGTGAAGAAAAATGTTACTCTGAAAGAGCGGCTGTCATCCCACACGTTAAAGTTAGCTATACTATTTACTTTGTTAGCTTGATTAGCTAGCTTGCCGGTATGAAATAGCAGTTCCTATTTTTATCGCAAATAACGCTAGATTGGCCTGAGTTTGTTGTGATGATTAACAGGGGATAAACGTGAAATATAAGGTTAGCCATATTGTTACCTTGGTGGTATTTAAGCGTTGTTGATGGCTTCACAACAACTGAGTCGTTTCCACAGGGAAATGGATAGTAGGCCTACAGTGGTTTGCACCAGCAACCGTAACAGTAAGTCATTAAGTTGATGAATTTGCGTATACGTTTACATATTCATGTCTGTCTGGTTTACAAAGTCTCGCTGATGTAATCGTTTTGCTTTCAGCCGTAAGGACAGATCTCAGTTTGCTGCTTGAGTGTCTGAAGTTTCAGATGAAAAGTCCCGATTTGCAGAAACAAGCTCTTCTCACCATTCACTCTATCTGTGAAAAAAGAGGTAAACTATCAATGACAAATACATATCATTGTCCTTCCTCTGAACCATGTCGTTTACACACTTACCATCTCCCTCGATCTTATTTTTTTGTGTCACATATTTTCTTGTCATTTAAGTCAGTGACTCATTTACATATTGACCATAACTCTTTGACATGATACATATCCACTGTATGACAAAAAAACATTTTTATTATTTCAGAGGATAATGTGGACCTGCTGAGAGAAATGGGAGGTGTAGCATTTGTGTACAACCTCTCCAAATCCAGTATTGTTCGTTCAGATGTTAAGGAGACTGCACTCTTTACACTCGGCACATTAGCAGAGGCCAATGGTAGGCGTGTGCGTGTGTGTGTTTGAATGAGCAATTGTGTTACTGTTTTTTCAAGTGCAAGTTGTTTTAGAGTATATCACCTTTTAACATTTTGATAATATGTTATGTATCTTTCCTTCCTGTAGTGTATTGCAAGAATTCTCTGTGCAGAAAGGAGACATTTGCAGACCTTGCCTCATTGTTGGTGGAGGAAGACATCCCGCTGACACAGAAGAGAGTGTCTGTGTATCTGCTGTCTGTGTTGGTAGCCAACAACAGTAAGATCCAGACACATCAACTGACATAATGATTTAAAGCTATATAATTGGTGGTCCTATTTACGTACACGTTTTTCTGTCAGTTAACATGACATGTTCTATAGTTTTTTTAAGTTGAAATCTCATCAAATGTACAGTAGTTTTTTAATCTCTCTGTCTGTGCTGTTGCAGAATCGGGACAGACTTTAAGCCAAACCACCAGCTGCCTTGATATACTACTCGACCTCTTCAGGTACTTTGCAATTCTAAACATTATAGACATCATCACTCATTTCAAGTTAACATAATTACTCCTTTAATGCTTTTTAAAAAACCTTACTTATATAAGATTAACAGATACGTTTAACAGTAAGCTTTTTTGCAGGACCACTTCCCCTCTCTCCGCAGGGGCTTCTTTGAGAGCTGCTAATGCCACTCAAACATTCCAGCTTTGGGCATCTGTGTCTAGTGCTCTCTGTGGATGTGTCAACAACCCTCAGAATGGTATTGTCATCTGTGTATTCGTGTTTTGTACTAAGCAGTTAATATATGATAAACATTGATGCCTTCCAGACAATTGCTTTCAAAGGTAAAAAATGCCCCAATAAATCTCAGTTTGCCCCTAAAAAAAAACATCAATCGTCTGTGCTTGAAACATTAGCAGGGCTTAATGTTTCGGGTAAATAAAAAAATCTACAAACTGATAAACTTTAAATAAACAAAGGCTATTTAGAGCAAAAATAAAACCATTAATAGTTTGAACTGTGTGCTTTTTCAGATTCTATACGCATAAAGATGATGGCATGCTTCTCTGAAACAGCAACATTATGCTTTTTATTTACTAAAGTTGACACAAGATGGTCATATTCTATGCATTTTATCTAATTTTAAACAGCAAACATTATTATATGTTTAAAAAATATATAAATATAATATAAATTCTCAGAGTGGGGTAAAAGTTACCCACAAAATATAGATATTTTCATTTCCCCTTTTCTCAAGTCAAAACCACGAGATGTTTATATCTGGAGTTGTTTCTTTTGTCTTCCAGAGGAGGGTCAGCGTATTTGTGTAGCAGCCTTTCCTGTAATAAAAGTGTGGCTTCAGCAGATTGCGCTGCCACGCACAGAGATTTTTCAACCCATATGTTCTTTCATAGCAATGACGGTTGCCAACAACTGTAAGTAAAAGAGTCAATGTTTATGTAAACCATCAACATTGACACCAACATTTGAATGAATATATTTATGAATGTATGTTAATCACTTTTAACACGTTTCTGCAGCCTGTGTTCAGGAGAGTTTTTCGGCCTCAGGCGGTCTGGATACTCTCACTCTCGCACTGGCCCGTCTAGCTTCTGCTGCCGATACAAGCCTGTTGTCGTGCCAGCTTTCTGTCACTATATCCAAGACCCTGTCAGCCTGCATCACAGAAAACTGTGCGTATCACCCTCACACAAACATGAGCAAACAGTTCTCTTAAAAACGTAAATAAGTGTCTCCTTTTACAATTCACAATCTGTTCTTTGTAGCGTCTCTGGCTTCAGGTCTGGCTCAGTATGGCGTGGTTTCCCACCTCTTCTCCCTGCTGGCTAGCCCACACCTGGACCACGAGGAAAGGCTCTCTGTTTTACTCACCATGGGCCACTGCACTGAGGCTTCAGGTGAGACTCCACATGAGAGGGCTGTTCATGTATAATCACTTCTGCTTATGTTGAAGTGTGTTTCAACTACAATGTCATCCACAGCTACAGTTTATTCCAGTCTTCCTTCCCTTGAGAGTACAACTTGAGTATTTATTTGATCCACGTGTGCTTTACAACTTTGTGTTTCTTCCTGACTATAGAGGAGCACCAGTTTCAGCTGGTGCAGTGTGGGGGCCTGCCCCTTATTATAACCCTACTCACAGAGGACACAAGTGAGGAGGTTAGGAAGGCTGCTACATTCATATTGCAGACCTGCAAACAGGCCAGTAAGTCATCGTCGTGACTCCACAGAAGTGGGTAGAATTTAGAATATGGAGTATTAATGACTTCTTTGTCTTTGAAGCCATGTCCATGGGAGTGCCTGGTGTGAAAGTGAGACATGGTGAGGGAGAACATGTGGACCCCTTTATAAACATGGAAAGCTTCAAGAGCTCAGCCAGAGAGTTGCTGCGCAGGATTGACCAGCTAGAGAAGAGACCAGCAAAGGTCAGATATGCATTCACGCACATGGCTACAGTTGAGGCAGCGAGGGGACTCATTATCTGTGCTTATGTCCATCGTTAGGAGGCTGAGGATGAGCAGGAAGTCCTATACCCATTCGATTCATCTGAAGAGCGAGGCCAACCATCTCTGCCTCCAGCATCACCTCCACCTCTGCAGCAGGAGAGCTTCAGAACCATTCCCACGGCATATACTCTCAAGCTGTTAGAAGGAGGGGACGACGACAACAACGTTAAAATTCAATTGTTGAGAAATGTGATCAAAAACAGGAACAACAGCCAACTGAAGAACACGAGCTCCAGTTTAAGTATGCAGGAAGAGGAGAGTAGAACCAGTGGAGGGGATGTGAAGTGTTCAGTGTGCAAGGGCACTGGATCCCTCACGTCTTCACATGGGCGGCCACTAGAGGGAGGCAGAGAGCCGCACACAGCAGACAAGTGAGTAGCTCCTCACTGTCGGTGACTTCTTAATCAGAACACTCAAAGTAAAAGATGGCTTTCATAATAACTGTTTCTCATTTCACTCGCTCGTTTTTGTTTAGTGAGTTGTTCAAGCCCCCAGCACCAGTGAGGCACAGTGTACCAAAGGAAATGAAATGTGCTGATGAAGAGGGTAAGACCTGCAGTACCTTTATCACACTTCTTTGCTTTCATTATTGTTTTCAGTAGATGTGCAGTTTTGTACACGTTTTTTTCAAGTAGTATATTTTTCATGTAAAGAATTGCAGGATCATGAGATGAGTAAGGGGGGGGGAATCCAAGTGGAGGGCCGCTCACTCTCTCATATCCGGTGTGCAGGTAGGAGAACAAGAGAACCCTCAATTAAAATGTTTTCAATGTTATTTAAACACACGGTGGTTAATGGACTTAGCAAGCATAGTGTTTTGGTTAGCCTTTACTTTAATGTACTGTTACTATGTTTTGTGTCAGTATGATAACATATTTTAGTCTCACTTTGTGTTTCTTTGTCCTCTACATGTCCAGGCCTGAAAAGTCCACACATATTCAGTCTTTGTATTGTTACTTCTAAACTTAAAAATAGTAATTTAGTTAGAGTATTACCGTGCCAACAGTGTTTTTTTTATTGTAAACAGATCCCTTTGCCTCTCTGTTCTTGCTCTCCTTCAGGTTGTGTGCTGCCTTTTGAGGAAGTGACTAGTCGCAATTTTGCATCTCTCCAGAGCTCCTGCCAGCAGAGCTGTGAGATGCACAGAGTTCTCCAGGAGGCCACCGAGCGGTTCAGGACGCGTCACTGCAACCTTCTGTTCAGGAGAGAGCCCCAAGACGACTCTGTAGGACAAACCGACCCAGAACCTGACCGGGTTTCACCTGCAGAGTCACCGAGAAGCTGGACAAACTGGAACCGTAAGCAACATTTATCATCTGACTTTGCTCAGGAAACCCACCTAATAACAGAAAATGACTGGTTGCTCATTGACAGAGGTTCCTACTCGCGTTGCAATGGCCTTGGTTTGAACGTTGCTGTGTGTCAGACAGCCATTTTAAATGGTGTAATATAAAGTTGAAGCTCAATGCTATTGTCCATATGTTTCCCCATGTGTGCTCACACAATGATAATAACAACATCATTTTTTTATGTAAAGGGGATACTACACCTTACATTGCTTTGTGAAAAAGCCCCCTCCCCCCCCCTCGTCCTCCTGAGAGATGTGATTTCATGTTCTGCCGAGATTCGTTTAGCATTTGTGGTCATTTTTGCTTTGGCACATGTTGTTGCCATACTCGCAAAAACCTGGTGATGCTAGCATCGGCTAACCTGCGACTGCAAGATGGGTTGAATATTACTGCATTTGGCAGGTAAAGAAAATGCAGATATTAAAACCTGGGCGTGGAATCATCTCAGACGTTGCCCCTAATTAACACTGCACTGAATTATGGGTATTAGACTAAACTCATGCTTTTGTTGCTTAACAGCTATAAAAGTCTTTATTTGTAAAATATGTAACCATGAACTTAAACATTGTGCTTTACTTCAGTCAAGATAAATAGTAAATGTTGTACTAGTGAAGACATGAGGTCCTTTCTGGCGATGATTAACTATGAGGAAACCTCTCAGACCGTAAACATGCCTCATTCATGTGGCTGTTGCCCAAACTGTTTTATGGTGAAAAAAAAACATTTATTTTCCTTTTCCATAACTGCTCTGTTAATATCCTTGTTATGAAACACACATTGTTGTCTTTAACTACAGCTATAAAATGTCTGATTTCTATTCCCCTATAAAAGATGTCTGCCTGACTCCCATACGTAAAGAAGCAAAGAAAAGCACCGTGGCACAACACCACTGGAAAAGGCACAATGGTGAGAGTTATGCAGCAAGTGGATTTATATACAGCTATTTAACACACCAATGTTTAAGGATTGTAGCAAATGAGCCTACGTAGTTAAAAAAAATCAACAACTAAGCCTCAGACAAATTATTGCTGTATGCCACTCGTTTCTGTAGGTTTTTATTTGGCTTTCTTCCATCATAGGTATCACTCTGACTCCACTGCGCAGAGGGGCTAACAAGAAGATAATGACCTTTAATAACAGGATGGGTATGTGTGCAATACAAATAGACAACATCTCATTTATTGTTCTTTTATGTTTGTCAGCATCTCATCCCTCCTCTCCACAGGTCCAACCTTCATTCCCCTCAAAGGGTCTCATCTTCCTGGAGGTAAATATGTGCTACCAGATACGGGGGTGTTTACAGTAGATTAATTTGAGGTGTGTGAATGTTATGATGGAGAGCCAGTGGTGGGAGCTGTCTCCGCAGTGTGTTCTTGGCAGCAGACAAACAAAAGAGCAGAAGGAATGTTGAACAGCAGCCAGTGTTCTCACAGGGCAGGCTAGAGCTGGTTCAGAGCCACACAACTGTATTAAGCTGTTTCACACTCTGTATAACACTGTGTGTCTCTGTGTGAGAGAGAGGGACAGAGACGTTTAAAGGGTGCGTTCTTATGCTTTGTATTCAGCCAGTGACATGTTTAAATGAGATGGCCTTTTAGTATGTTCTGCATTATGATATCGCATGCTTGGTACTTGCATGACGTTCAATATTACCCATTATATTTTGCTGCTATGTTTGACAATGTACCCCGGTTTTTCTCCTGCTTCCCAGTCTACCCTTCTCTTTCTTTTGGTCAGACTTTCTTTAGCCTGATTGTTGCATCATGGGCGCAGAGGCATTGCTGTACAGTGCAGTATTTCTGTGTGCACTTTACTTTATACCTGTCTGTCAAATGTAGTTTCCAAAGCTCACGTTGTGTGATTGACACTGAGAACAGTTGTTTCTTCCACTGCACAGCTCGCCTTTAATCCTCTCTCTTTCCTGTAACGCGTTTTTTTTTTTTACCTTTCTCTTCTTACATATCATACTTTTCTCTTGCCTGCTGCCGTCATCCGTCGTTCTTCTTCCCTTTATATTGTTGTTCTCAAAGCAGCCCTATTAGTCATCACTTGTGATGTAATACTGCTCTAACGAGGAGCGAGAGAAGAGAGACAGTATTCTGTTGTGTCTGGGGCCAGTTGATGTGTTGTAACAGAATGAGTTACTCCAACATGGCATCTTCTTCTTCTTTACACACAAACACGTACTGTTCTACGTTTCAAATTCAGAGAGAAGAGGAGGCAAAAATATTGGAAATCACAGTCTTGATGATGATCTGAGGACTAGCACAGAACACTCTCCCGCTGTAAGAGTTTCAAATCATATTTTCTGTCAGAAATCTATGTATGAACTTTACATGAGATTCACAGTGAACTATTGGCTGCAGGTATTTATAAAGAAAATAACATGATCATGTTCAATTGACCATCTCTTGCACTATAAAAGTTGATAGTCTGCAACTAAGTCTTAACATAAATGTCCGAGCCTTCTTGAACAAATCAGCAGAAAGACTTTCATAACCTTTTAATGTTACTGTATGTAACTTTGTAACCAATCCTTTGATGGGAATAGAATTACACAACATCAAACGTCAAACTTGATTTTCAAAGGGTATTACAACAAGTTGCAACTAAACAAAGTTGGGAAATCCATTTCAAATAGTGCGACATGCTTAGCAGAATGGCTGCTGGGAGTTTGCAATGTGTTGATAATAGGCTGAAATGTGCAAAACCACCAGTTTGTTCTATTAACATTGGTCACACAGGCATCTGTAGAATATTATTTTAAGCCACTAACTAACAAATGTGCATCTAATTAAATTTTATTAGAGCTGTAGTCATTCGTCCATGTGTCAGTGGAGAAGGCATTTAGTGTTCATAAAAGAGGCAAAGGTATTATATTTGGGCTAAAATAATGACTAATTGCAATTATTTTGAATAATATTACAATTGCAACATCAGAGGGAATTATCATTTTTGAAAGATTATCCACATTATCATTCAAACAGTATATTAAAACGATCATTCCACTCTCTTCTGTCCGTCATTGTCCACTCAAACGTTTTTCCTCTTTTGCCTGTCATCCATAGAGAAGGCAAAGGAGAGACTTCAGCAGTGAGGAGGTGCGGTACCTGCTGTGTGGCGTGAAGACGTACGGCTTCTCCTGGAACTCCATCTTGTGGTCATACCCCTTCCAACCTGGACGCACCAATGTGGACCTGGCCAAGAAATACAGGCGGCTCATGCAACAAGAGAACATATCCTTGAGGCCAGATATTTGATATTTTCCTTCATGAATGTCAAATTGCATAAAGATGAACTGACAGATTGTCTTTTTGCCTGCAGAATTCTGGCTGTGCATATTCTTGATCCTGAGTTCCACACCCTGCCTATTGTTGATGGCAAACTGTAAATAATAAAGCGCTGCCTCCCTTAATACTCTATTGTTTTAACAAAAAAATCCACAAAAGGCATGTAATACATTTACTCATAATGTATTATAGTATTTAGTGTTTTTCAGTGCCTTGACTTCAAAGCTTTATAAACTCATATTATTCTCTCAGTACATATTTATTTAAGGATTTCTAGTATTTTTTGTATTTATATAACTTGTTCATGGTTTGCAATTTGTTTTTGCAGCATTTTCATTGCTAATTGTTCTTTCTGTTATATTCAAAACATTAAAACAGCTTTTTGAGATTGTTGAATATGTGAGGATGAATTGTCAGTTTTTGTGTGAATTATATAGGAAGAGGAGACATTTTGAAATCCCTCTTTTGTTGGAGCACCACCTATTGATGACTCACCACCACTGTGTTACCACATGAAGGTGTGCCAGATTTGATTGCAACAACACGGCATTAATGAGTTGTGACAGGAAAAAGACTCAGCCCTAAACACATTGGCAAACATAAAAAACAAGTCTGTGTCATAACTAGGCCAGGGCAGATCTGCTTTGTACCCAATTTATTATTATTGGACATTCATTTAACAAACAAGCAAATACAGTTGTTTTTAAAGTCAACACCGACTTTGAAGTGAGGCAGGAAATCAACAAGAGGAGAGGGGACTGGAGTCCAGCACTTAGTGTTTATTGATCTGAAAGCCTCTGGTATGACAGGAATCGCAAATCAGGCTGTTTACCTATTCTCAGGGAGCATCAAGAAGCAGCTCGGCCTACTAAAGGCTAGCTTGACTGAGATCAGTGTCTGAAGAGTGCCTCTCCCTCTCCACAGGGACTCATCAGTGTGTTGTCAAAACCATGGGACTTACCCGGTTGCCGTGCCTTGAGGCGTGGTCTGTTCACATTAGGTGCGGTTGCATAAGGCATGTGACTGCTTTAAGTGGGACTTAATTTGATGATGTTATGAAACTGGAGAAAACCCATGATGCAGTTATTTGCTGGTATAGTGTTACTAGTGTACTTACACATTTAAAAGAAGCTGTATGATGACATTGCAGTGTAAGCCTTTTTTAATTTGGTTGTATTCCTGTGAAAGTCAATAGTTATTTCTCTCTAAATTTCATTTTAAGGCAGGGTGACGTGGCCTCTCATACCAATCCACTGACTTCTTGGTTAAGATGTTGGGATAGCAATGCAGTGAGGGCAGGGGGAGTGTGGTGGGAGAGGCATGTGAGGAGCTGATTTCTCATGGACTGAAACGCAGTCACACTGAGGACTTTTGACCAAGACCCCCCGAAAAACCTCCTTCCTCTGGAAAGAATGTGGCTTCGTCTCTCCCCCCATTCTTGTCCCTCCCCCCCTCGTCCTCTCCTGAGAGATTGTGAAGAGAGGCACTGTGTCTCTTACATGTGTGCTGTGTTGGCTGGAATTCGATTTCCATATGTACACTGTGTCCTACACATGTACTTGTGTGTTACAAAACATGCTCTACAATGGAGAAAGGTCCAATTGTTTCAGTGTGTGCATCGAACAGATCTTTGCTCTGCGCTTCGTATATTCCACATTCAAACACTGGGAGGATCCTACTGTAGCTTTTGCGGGCTGACAACTGGTAAATATTTATCATGATCTACAAAAGTGTCCTACTTTCCATTGTCAAAACCTTCAACATAAACATTTCTTCAGTTAAAAGTGCAAACAAGTAAAAACCAGGGACCAAGACGAAAACATATGTTGAATAATATTTTTATTTATTTGTACAATCAAGACACTACTTGGGTTAAAGTATTCCATCATTGTATTGCAGAAAATACAATAAGGAGTAGAAAATTACAAAGTCCAAACATGACTACTTAAACGCAAAAAAGTTTATTTGACATTTGTTTCCTGCTGTATAGCGGTATTCATATACTGTGTCCATCTTTGGTTGCATTGCTAGTGTCCCTTGCCTGTCGTTTTGCATTCACCCAAGGCGTGCTGCAGACCCACAAATCCATCTCAAGCTTTTTCCCTTTCCCTTTGTACTCTTCCTGTAGTGTGATATATAGCAATGGCTTGTTTTTCTCTCAAAAATGTCCAGTTTGTGAGATTTAGTGGCATCTAGTGGCGAGGGACTGCAAACAACTCAATACCCCTTCACACCCTCTTCCCTTTTTCAGGTGTTGGAGAACTACACCTGCCTTCAGGTAATGAAATCATGGAAGGCCCTCTCTAGAGTCAGATTTGTTTTGTCCTTTCTGAGCGACTGTAGAAATATGCCGGACTCTGCGAAGAGGACCTGCTCCCTAGATAGGAAGGGCTGATCTTAAGCAAACAAAAACACAATCATTCTTAATTAGATGTGATTATATACTAATGAAAACATAGTTAGGAATGTTGTATTGTATTTATGCTAATAGTTCCCCTTAAATTGTACATACTGGACATTAATAGAAAATCATTGTATCTTGCTTGGTGAATTTGCATAGAGAAACATCTCTGTTGTCCGGCAATATACGTAAATACACTCAATACACACAAAAACCCGTGCTGTTAAAGCCCCACCAATATACCGTTTTGTGTTTTGGCACATATGGTTCATAAAGAAAGAGAAATAGCTGTTTGCCTTAATTTAGCCACTTCGGTTAGAAAAAACATTGCATCTGTGATTCTTTCAGAATTCATGTAAGGGGTTAAGATGGTTTCACAGAAAAGTATCCATTCACTTGTTTAACGAATTTTTTGTTTTATGCTTTCACATCAGCTCAGTGGAGGTGGTCATGTCACCAGGGAGGTTGACATTGTTGGGAATGAAGTCAGCGACAAGGTCATTTCCTTTCAGCTCTAAGTTCTTCAGCAGTCCAGAAACACTTTCTTCGTTGAAATCACTCGCAAGCTGCTCCAAATTATCTGCAGCCTCCACCTCCATCAGCTGTTCCACAACACCGTTTTGGCATACCTCGGTCACCAGGATGTCTGAAGCCTCATCTGCATCGATGGTGGCGGTGATGGGAGGAATGTCAATAGGCTCAGGAGTTACATCAGGGACACCCAGGTCAATCAATGGAAGTGAAGAAAACACTGGCTCAGGGAGAGACTCTTGGCTAAACAGGTCTATCTTCTGCTCCAGAACCTCAGCTGGGGCTGGTACTGACTCTGGGATGGGTTCAGGGAATGCTTCTGGTTCGGCAACTGGCTCGGGTTCAGGAAGTGCCTCTGGTTCGGGAACTGGCATAGGTTCAGGGAGTGCCTCTGGTTCAGGAACTGGCATAGGTTCAGGGAGTGCCTCTGGTTCAGGAACTGGCACAGGTTCAGGGAGTGCCTCTGGTTCGGGAACAGGCTCTGTAGCTGGTTCTGGAGCAAGCTGAACTTCAACAACAGGTTTTGGATCGGCAACAGGTTCTGGTTCGCTGACAGAGACCAAAGGCTCAGGTACGGCTGGATGTGGGGTTGCAAAAGGAATATCTACTATTTTAGTGTCAATCAAACATTCTTGAGTGGCACATGCCACCGGTGCCACTGGCTCCTCCTTCACCACCTCCAGAACCTCCGTCTTAATGGCCTCCTGAACCTGTGTTATCCCGCTGTCTGCTGCTGGCTCTGCTGCAGTCTTCTGCTCAGGAGCAGCAGCCTCAGCACTGTTGGCTTCTCGCGTTCTGCTAAACCGGTTTCCCATGATTAACCTGTACAGAGTTAAAAATTAGACTTAAATTACTTGAAATATTAAAATGTCAAATTCTGTTGTGCAAGTCAAACTTTTCTTCAGCTCAATATTACACAATGTCCCTGGTGCTAGAATTGCATTTAAGTTTGAGCTTTCTGTTCAAATTCATGAATACACAGTTGAGCAAGGTAACCAAAAACACAAAAAGTAATCAGAGACACTTGCTTGTTTCTGTCAGGATCCACTAAACTGGTTGAGCAAAGAAATATCCCTGTGTGTGGGTTATGGTACATTGTGTTCTCATCCCCTTCCCGAGCCGCATGTACAGCATGTACCATAACATGTGTAGGGATTTGAGCGTGTATATATAGGGAATGTTAATGTTACGGGGATTTTTAAGCATTCGTTTACTAGATTTATCATTTCTCGCATGCCTGCTTTGCTACTTCTCATGTATTTACTCCATTAATTAAAACGAATCTGGACACGTTTAGACGTGCCTTCAAAACGTTTGCAAATGATAACCCCTAACGGCCCCGTTTCATGTAAATACGATTTTATGATTTCTCTTCGTTTGCTTTTACTAATTACATTGTAAAATCACCACACCTTGATCCAGTTGTGCAGCCCATCAGATCATTAATCCGCACGAGGACAAGCAGTTCAAAAATGTTTTAATGTTTAATAAATGTACATGACATGACAAGTCACTTGATTATTGTCATTTCAAACACAAACAACAACCATGCGCTAATTGCCACTGATTTTTGGTGAAAGCTAAACGAACAAAGAAACCCTTGCAGGCGACCCCGCCTCCCTCTCGTGCTGAACAAGCAAAAAATATACCTAACCCTAAAAAGTGTAAAAGTATACAGAAATAAAAACAGCTCAGGTTATAACATCATGTAAGAAATATTGACCCACCGTTTGAAGCTTTTCGCGTTTCAGAAGAATTGGATAAAGTTGCAGAGGATCACGCACACCCAACTTGGAGAAGTCCGCACGTCAAACTGTCCGTCGAAGCGCGTACCAGAGAAGTAGACTCACACTGCGCGTCCACGATGCGCGTGCCGTGAACCAACCACAAGCCTCCAAACTTCCCGAGACAGATTGACTTCAGAAAAAGTAAGGTTCGCAACATTATACTACTTATTGGCATTTAATTAATCAAATGTTATATGCAGTCGTGTTTCAGTTTTAACTCTTGACAAACCAGTGAGACCTTAAGTTTCAAAATGTGTAGTATCAGTTTCAATATGACCACCGCTAGATAATGTTTGTAAATAATCAACATATTGTTTGAAAAATATCTTTATTAGATCATGTTTCAAAACTATCACTACTAAAGCTTTTAAATGGATCCTTTTAAATTCATGAAAGTTATTGATTATAGCGATCACAACAGTCCATTTCACTTTAATGTAATGTGGTCATAACATGGAAGTTCATCAGCTGACACTGTGGGTAAACACTAAATCTATGACATACTTAAGTTTGTTATTCTGAGAAGTCCTATTCAATGCAGACTCTTGAAGATCACTCAGAACATAATGGATAAAGCCAAGGCACAC